ACTGTTTACCAAAGTGGCCCGCCGAGGAAAAAAGGTTGGTAAATACTGGTCTAGACTCCTGTAGTCCTGCGACGGCAAGAACTTAATATTTTACCGACAATAATATGACATAATATAATATTATTAGCAATCAAATCTTATAAACGGATATAAACGTTGCGATTTCGAGACATATTTTACTGCTGCTAATGCAGTCATGGCCGAATTTTATCGTTCGATCTTTACCGCCTCCGACGGCGACGTCCTCTAAAATGATTGAATTCGACACTCAATCATGCATATTATATTAGTATCAATTTATTTGCATTTTTACACAAACATCATAAAATACATTTATCTGGTGTGATGATTAAACATTTATAATTATTGTACAACTAAATTCTGTGATTGTAGTATAGGGGGACGTTTAGTACATATTAGATTATTATAGATGTACCAAACCTATCGGTTGGCCCGAAACCAAATTGCGATTAATTTAAACCGACCTGCAGCACGTTCCGAAGACCACTATATTGTAGTAGCTCGTCTATGATGCCGATGACGCATACGATTGCGCTTGCGCGTCATTCTATTTTGACCGGAACATAATCGATTATTTGTGTTCCATTGTCAAGATCAAATGGTATTCAATCGTTTTCTCTTGTATTATATTCTCGTGTTTCTTTCTTTTCACATCACAATTTATTATAATATTCTTTTTCATCCTAATTCGACATTCATAATATTATAGTTTCGAGGGTTATTAATTTATGTTCGTATAATAATATGCGATGGCTATTATTCTATACCTGTACCTATTACCTACTACGTCAAACCAGGAATAAATTTGAATGATAAGCGCAAAATCGTATTCTCTTAATACATTTTTTTTTTCGTTTATGCAAATAATTTTGATTCAGTCGGGATCAAGGAAATGTACAAACCATGTCCTCGGGAGTGAGTCGGTACACACGAGTACGAATGCATAACAAAATAATAATAATATATAATATAGATTACAATTTTTTTCTCACTTAATTACTGCGTCGATCTTGAACTTAATATTTATGCGACCTAAATATCTTATAACTACCTATTATAAGGCTTTCATACCGATGTAGAATAAAAAAATAAAATGAAATTTAGCACTTGCCTAGACACGAAAATTAACGTTATTATTTCAGACTGTATACGTATATAGTGAGACAGTAAGTTGTTCTATGAATATGCAATGTGACCGATTTGGCTCGTGAAATTTTTTCTCTCTGTTGTTATTATAATTATTGTATTTCACTACACTCTGCCGATTGCCACTTTTTCTGCAAAAAATAATAATTATTATCGCAGAGTTAAAAACAAAATATTTTTATTTTAAAAATTCGTTGAGGTTTAGAATTGTCAACATATTCATAAAAATATATACGTACCAATTAGATACATTTATTTATTATGTGCTTCTAATTTTAGCTTAAATAATGACGTTTAAACAATCACACATATCATCATAACTATAGGTACTCGTACCACTATAATATTAATCATTTTAATATTTGATATGAATATAGTGTAGTGCATTTAAAACTATCAATAAATATGCATTATATACCACAATTGAATATGCCTTAAGTAAATATTTTATACACCTATCATATGTAAATTGCCCATACATAGAGTGTAATTCAATTTAAGTTGTATTGTTTCTACTGAAGCGCACCTATTCCAATGAATATTATCTTGCCTGATTGAAAACAACCTGCTGAATCTATATTATTGTAGCACTAATCACACTACACACTAGCTCTAAACCAGTTATCTTTGTAGTCGCTACAGCCACACTATTATTATAAGATTGTGTGTTTATTACCATATTAATAATTAAGTCTAAAATAGCTGTAAAATAAAACTATTATACTACCTACTTATTTGTTCACATATTTATTTCAAAACAAACATATCAATTTAAAAAACGAAAAAAGGTCATGAGCCATCGGAAATTTATCAAACCGATTCCGAGTACAGAAAACTGTAGATTAGACATTTCTTTCCTTTTTTTTTTTTTGTTTTGCTCTTCGTCTAAATTCCTAATTGACGGTTAAGAAACACGCTGCAGTGTGTTGTTTTACATCACACATTATATTGTATACCTATGGATTCTATTCCGAGTATGTAAGACACAGCTGTGACTTTGTTCTACTACGTCGTTGTAAATACATTTACTACACACGGATAACACAGTATTATAGTGGAGTATCTTTGACAAATATTCACATCCACATAACTAACTCAAAAAATGTTAAGGAATTCTCCAAAACAAAATCGTTGTATTTTTATATTTTTAATAATAATATGTATAATACACTATTAGTATACTATAGTATACTCCTGATGAAATATTAAACAGACCTGAACAATAAAAAAATTTTTTATGTTAGCTAAAAAATATTACGATAAAATTGTGAATCATGTAATGATTATTATTTGACTATTAATAACTGTTATATGGTAGGTGTCTAAGGCGGTTAGCTATTAATTCTTCATATTATTCTTACAATCAAAATATCCATAAATATTCTACATATATATTACTTTTAATTTTTTTTTTTTTAGGCATAAATGTTATGGTTTTCAACCATTTATCATACATATCATTCCTTATGTAATAATATGGATTAAACATAATTAGTTAATAATATAATCCTGAGATATTCTTTTTCCAATGTGTAGGTTTTAGGTCTATCTAAACGTCTTAGTTTTAGTTCAATTTTTATCTAGTCGTTCGTTTATGGTTTGTCAAAATAAATATTTACAGAATTTGCAGATCATCGTCAGAGTATTTTATATTATGACGTATATGTATGGCGGCGTGTAACGTCCTACTACTTTTTATATTGTAATCTTTTCTTTGCAAACCGCATTCATTTTCCTAGTAAACAAGTTTCTACGTGTCTATAATAGATTTTTAGGGTTTTAATCGCGTTGTGACCGGAACTAATTAAAAGTATATAGACACACGCCACACAGTCACATAACAAAAGTAATATTCTAAGGCCTAAGCATATTGTGCAGCTTTTGAAATTATTGTGAAATTAAAACTACGTGTAATTATAATATCTATCAGGTAAAATTCAAGAGTCAACTAGCCAGTTTACTTGTTATAAGGAATAAACCAGAATAAAATAATTATAGATAAAAATATTTAAGTAGGTACTTATATTTTCATCATTATTAAGTATTTTCATTCGAAAAATCTCATAATCTAACTTAATGCTATAGAGAATTATAAAACTATAGAATTATAGAATTATCCTATGTAATAAACTGTCGATCAGTATATTTTTTTGTCTTGGTCGCACTTTTAAAATTGGTTAAATTACTGTAGCACAGACATACAATTTAAGCATATTAAAAATTGTGACTAATCTGATCCTCCCTAATACTATATTGATATTAAATATAGTGGTAGTATATTAAATCTTATTATTAAAAAAAAAATATATATATATATGTATCTATATAGGTACAATCATACTGTGGTGTCTTTCACCTCACAAGTTGGCTGTAGCTACCATAATTTTAAGGATTATATAATTTGTTTACCAGTTTGACATGTAAATTTGTTAGTATAATTGCTGTCGCGAATTATTCATTATCACGTTCACAAAAGGAAAAATAAATTAAACCGAACATTTGTCTGACAAAAAAAAATTCGCACGTTACACCGATATTCTAATTTATATAGGGTTCTGTCTGAATCTGTAACAAATTTCGACGTGACGAATCTTGTGCATTTTTCATGAATGGTAACATATTTTACGCTCAGGTTGGTTATCAAATATTATACTTGACAAACAGAAAAGAAATATTACAATAATATTACAGCAGACCTTTGAAGTACTTCTTTAAAATTATTTGTTTAAGAAAAAAATTTCCATTAATATTTGAATAAAAATTTCAAACGACGTGTCCTCTGTGTATTATCTTACAAGATACATATTCATATTCACTGACGATTTTTAGTGATTATTCTTCTGAGAAGAACTTGCCATCCGTGAGGTGATTCATATCTTATAAATTTTGAAATTTCTCTAGCTATGATTTAATACTATATTATATCGCACCAGTGGTAAATGCGGGCAAGTCATTGACAACAATTAACTTGAGTAGGTTAAATTAAGTTATAAGTTAATAATTAACAAACAATATTATAACATTATTTTACTCTCATAGTCTCAGGTTAATGTGCAGCAGAAAAAACACATAATATATATTATATAGGCACCTGTATTGTTATTATATGTGTAACTTTACTTTAAGTTAGTAATTTTATTTTTGTAGATTATAACCGACGGTTTTGTCGAAAATGCCATTGTCCTGCACGAGATAGTTAATTTGTTTATTCGTATTTCAAAACATTGAATATTACAGTGTGTTTGAAAAAAATTAATTATTAGTTAAATACAGGACAATAGTTGTGGATAATACAATGTAAACTTACAATGTACTTATATAGATAATTTGTATAAATTATTTGATTTTAACTTGACGCGAGTTATTCGTCAAAATTAACTAAAAAATGTAATAATCATTAGTCATTACAATGTATACTTAAGCTAGCTAAGTAATTGGTTTAACACAACAAATTAATGAACTCGTTAAATAATTGAAAAGTTAAAAAAAAAATTTTTCTTGGCTTTGTAATCATTTAACTTTGTAATACCTACCTAATTAGTTATGATTTCCTCCCAAGAACTTCGGCGCCACATTTAAGCGTTTTGGTTGCTCTTGTTTTTGCGCAATGACAATAATATGTGCCCACATTATATTAGTATACCTCTATAGGTATACATTTATGTCTACAAATTAAACAAACACTTAATACCAAATGGCTGTCATCGCGTGTCAATAATCATTGTCTGCGTTGGAATTACGTATTCAATACGGTAATGCGCCAATTAGCGACTGGCCTTATGAACGTGACCGACGCATATGTAGTGATGCGACAAGAGAATATTCTCTTGAAGATTATTACCGGACAGCAGAGGCGGATTTATCTTTTTTACGGCTATAGGCACCAAAAATTTGCCGCTCCTATAATAGGTGAAAAAGTTACAATACCCCTCCAAAATACCTACTCTAAATATTTAAAGCGCTTTACACACTACCTGATTTGGTCGGGCCGATAGGATACCTGACCAAATCAGACGTTGCGTACACACAGTACGACCACCACATGATGTAGTCAGTCTAGTTCGTGCCCACTTGTGTTCGCATGTCCAAACCAACTATACCCAAACCACAATAAATCATGGCTCCGTTATCAAACCAACAAAAATTGGGAATTGGTTTAATAGCATTATCATTGACATTGACGGAAGAAAAGAAAAAACGAAGAATGTGGGCAAAAAAATGGTTAATTGAACGAAGAAAATTCAGCCACATGACATTACTAAAAGAATTGGATAGTGATGATTTTCGTACCTATTTAAGAATGGATTACAATTGTTTCGACGAATTACTAAATTTAGTAAGTCCGTTGATCACTAAACAAAATACTCATTTGCGAGAAGCTGTCAGTGCCGAAGAAAGACTTGTTGCCACACTAAGATATTTGGCATCAGGCAGAGAATATAATGATTTAAAATTCAGTACTGCAATTTCTCCACAGTTACTTTCAAAAATAATTCCAGAAACGTGTCATGCTATTTTTAAAGTGCTGAGAAATTTTTTAAAGGTAAGAACAATGTTTTTTATAAATTAACATATTTACCAGTTTAATCAACAATTACTTTGTAAAATATTAATAGTGTATATATAATAAATGAGAGATGTCTTAATTATTTCTTTATTAATATGGCAGATAAAAAAATAATAACAATACATTTTTATAATTTATAATTATTTATTCTTATTCAAGTTAAATCATTATAAATATTATTATAGATGCTTGAACAATAAAAATTCATTCACATTATATGAATGTTGTATATTATTTGGATCATTTGGTACTTCATTTGATGTAGGAATTGGCATGGTTGTTACTGGTGAAGTTTGAGAAGTGTCTGAATGCAAAGAAATCATTGTAGAACTAGGTGATGGTGTTGAAGAGTTATAAGGCATGGTCGTTACTGGTGAAATATGAGAAGTGTCTGAATGCAAAGAAAGCATTGTAGAACTAGGTGATGGTGTTGAATAGTTATAAGAATTATCATAGCCGCTTAATGAAATTGATGAACATAAAGTCAATTTTTCCAATTTTCCGTAAAAAATAACTTCTGAAATCAATTTTTCAGCAATACATTTTTGAGTTTTAGTCATTTCTGCTAGCTGCATTCCTATATTTTTCCCATATATGTCCTCTGGACTATCTACTTTAGACATTAAATGTTGTGCACTTTCAATTAATGTTTGTTGTTGTTGTTGCAACTTTGTACCACGTCGTTTCTTACCCAATGTAGTTGATGATTCATTTACAATGCTTTGTGTTTCAGATACCTACAACAGAAAACGAATGGTTAGAACAGGCAAATCAATTTGAAACCCAGTGGCAGTTTAATAATTGTGTAGGTGCAATGGACGGAAAGCATGTCCTAATCAATAAACCACCAGGAAGTGGATCTCTATATTACAACTATAAGGGTACATTCAGTGTTGTTTTATTTGCAGTTGTCACAGCTGACTACAAATTTATGTATGTTCATACTGGTGTAAATGGGAGCGTTTCCGATGGTGGTGTTTTAAAACATACAACATTTTATAAAAAACTAACTTCAGGACAACTAATGCTACCACAACCTAAGTTGCTTCCTAATACAAATACAACAGTACCGTATGTTTTCTTAGGTGATAGTGCATTTGCGATATCTAAACACATTTTAAAACCATTTCCTCAAAAAAACTTAACACATGACAAGCGCATTTTTAACTACAGACTATCACGCGCGAGAAGAGTAGTTGAAAATGCGTTTGGAATTTTATCATCGCGTTTTAGATTGTTTAAAAAGCCGATAATGGTTGACGTTAAAAATATTGATGTAATAATTCTAGCATGTTGCGCTCTGCATAATTTTTTAAGCAAAAAATCAAAAAATTACATAACAAATAACTGTGTAGACAGAGAAGATTTTGAATGTGCTACACTCCGAGGCGGTCTTTGGCGGCAGGAACAAACATTGTTGGATGTAAATCAATGTAATCAATCAAATACAGAAGAAGGCAAAACCGTCAGGAACATATTTAAAGAATATTTTAATGGTGTAGGCAGTGTAGATTTCCAAGAAAAGATGATAAATGTATTGGGAAACTAAAATTTGTAATATAATGTATATATATATATATATATTTTAATCACTGTAAACATTTAGTCTGTAGTCTTAAATTTGTATCTAATTAAGTATTTTTCAGTAATCTAACATAAGATATATTTTTTATCCATAATACATAGTTTTTGTTACATTATACAAATTAATAATACAATATATTAATATAGGTATTTTCAATGAATATAAATTAAGTTAATGTTACCTAGTAAAATGTATTATGTAATATTGTTTTGATTTTAATAAATAAATAAAAAAATAAAAACATTATAATTAATCATTACCTCATCATCACCACTGAAATCGATAGTGTCAATTCCACTTATACTTGTGTTTTCTTTTTCATTTAGAAATGTTAGGTATTCAAAATACCATAAAGATGGCACATAAATATCTTTTAGACCAGCACCAGTTCTTTTACTATCTTGTACCTGCAAGTTAAATTATAAATAATAATGTGCAATTTATACTATAATAGGATATTTTAGTGGTTTGTATTAAATAGCTATATATTTTTGTGTGTGTATATAATTATAATTTTTTTTTAGTCAGTTTTTATGTCTTTTCTATGACATAATTTAAATTCATTAAAATATAATTATTTCTTATATAAATAATTGAGTTTTCATTTATTTATATTAATCATTAATTTTCTTATTTAAAAAGTATTAACCTTAGACAATTTTTGTCTTTTAGATTCTGAACGGAGTGATGAATGTATTGATTTTACAATGATGTGTTTTTTTTTTTTTTTTTTTATAATAAACAATGAATATTAAAATTAGGTACCTACTTTTAAAAATAATTGATTTGTTTACCTTTTTAAATTCTCTTTTGTATGCAGCTCTCATATTCTCAATTTTCTTTTTTACAGTTGAGATACTAGCGTCATTGTCTATTATTTTTAATTTTTCTTTTAATAACTCAAGCGCCTGGTTTCTTGCATCCCTGTTGCTGTACTGCTTACAAGTAATATCCCATAAACAAGTAAACGATTTGTACATTTCTAAAAAATCCAAAATCACTTCTCGTTCTGTTAGAACAGCAGTCATTGTAAAATGTAAAAACACTTTAGATTAACTAGAATCTAGATTATAATAATCTAAAAGAAATCTAATAAAATTATAATCTACTGTGACAAAGATAATCACCAGTCACTTTCCAATTCCCCCTGCACACCGCGGCACCAAACATGTTGAACAATAATATTAAGTCGTCTCATATTTATTTTTAAACTGTATTTGGGTATTTACCTAAAGGACTTGCTACGTAGAACCACAGAATAGATTAAATAGAACGCGGGAGGCGGGCGTACGCCATGCGCACAGGCAACTCCAGCTAACGTCTTAACTGGAAGTACACATGGAGATACACACGTGTTATCACTTTAACCTCCATAAACCAACTAAAATCCGCCCGACAGTGCTACACACTATATGATTTGGTCGGTCGGTCGGGCGATCAGATGGTATGGCCACCTGACAAGACCCGACAGGATTAAAGTCAGACGACACGTCTACACACGACCTGATATGACGTCTGATCTGACCAAATTATCCTGTCGGCCCGACCAAATCAGGTAGTGTGTAAAGCGCTTTAAAATATATAGTATTATCAAAAACTGTTTTCTATATAATTGTTTACTATAATATTTATAGGTAATGACTATAAATTATAATGAACCAAAATAGATTGGTATACTGAATATCATATACGATGTACTATATGTTTGATGTTTTTTAATAAAACACTACAAAATTTGCCGCCCCCCAAATTTTGCCGCCCTAGGCAGCTGCCTACAATGCCTAATGGGAAATCCGCCTCTGCCGGACAGGTAATTTTCTTTTTTATTCTTTTTAGTGTCATAGTGGTGTGATTATGTTTGAGGTTGGTACTATTGGTAATTAATTATACATTTCTTATTTTGTGTATAATTTTATAATTTTATTGTAAATACATTGCGTAATTGAACAAGAAGTTATATTTTAATTTTTTAATTGTTGGTTTACTATGAAAATATATTGAATTAAGTATTATTATAGTGATCTATGATATATTAGTACCGATAGGTATACTGTATGCTATATAAAACATATAATTATTTAAAGAATGTGGAGTTGTGGACTGTGGTAAGGTTTTATTCTCTTTTCTTTGGGCTCAATCGATGAATTATTGAAGACCAAGAAAATTACCTAATATTCTCTGGAAAGATAATTACGGTAATTTTACATCACTACGCATATGTCATAATCAGATCTCAGAACGTTCACTCGCGACACGACAATATTGGACAACGATATTACTTTTATTATACAGTGAACTGTAATGCCGCGATTTAGACTATTTTTCATATTTCAATTTCAATACAAATAGTGACTACATTATTTTGACGGACATAGTTATCGTGGGCTCACGGGTATAACGTCTTAATGCAGAAGATTCACAAAATATCAACTCCGACTCCTTGTGGTCACCTGTGGTGGGGAAAGTGACCAACGATCTTAAGACTCTTTCAAAAAAAAATGGTTGGCCTCCCATCTTGCAAAAGCGTACTTTCGGATATCTGTACATATTTTTAAAAACAATATTATTTAGACCCCTCCCCACCCCCCCCCAAAAAAAAAAACAAAAAAAATAAAAAAGATCATGTGTGGTCGCTTATTATAAGTACGTCGATCTCAGTCCACGGTTTGAGACGTGGTTAATCATTCCCGTTTTATATTGGAGCGTTACCGGTCTTTCCTTAGATCATATTATGGTACCGATGTAAAGTGCGTATCCAATAGTGTACCTCAGTATGCTTGTGTATACATGTCAAAAATTAAATATTTTATCAAAAATACATTAATCAAAACAATTTCAGAGCATAACTTCAACAAAAAGCTGTAGAGATATCATGATTCGTAATACTATCGCTGTTATATAAAGTGTGAGAACACGGGGAGGTCAATATGATACTGTAGTATGTACATAATTATATATTATGTAGACTGTTTAATATCGACTTTTGTCAACGTTGGTGACGACGGAATTAGGGCGACTGACGGTAATCGAAACATAAAATCTCAGATCATTGAACTGAAGAATAAATTTTAGTTTTCTTGAAACTAAGTGGACCCCGCGTGGTCCGTATACAGTTTTTAAGGTTTAACTCCTAACATATTTTATACTCACGGCGTCTTGAACAGGCAAAACAACTACATTAACGATCGAGAAAAAAACATATTATTTTATTTTACGCAGAACGGCATAATTTTTTTTCTATAAAATCTAATTATTTACTTATTATGATGCTTACAAATAAATCAACTCAAAATATAACCTATTTTATTAGTGAACTAAGAATTAGGAAAGAAAATACAATGAACGCGATAGTATTCGAGCTCAATATTATATTAAATGGAACAGGTTAGACGCGTATCATCTATTATTTTATTTTTTATTTATTTTTTTCTTAAAGCCTCGCCCATGGTAGTTTAATTTAAAAAAACCAAGTTAAATAAAATAATAAATATACGTTTGATAAAAAAAAGTATATTTTGTGTATACAAAAATCTAAAGCAATAAAAAGTCAAGTTAAATTTTTTGTTCAAATTAAATTTTTTAATTCTATTTAGAGTATCTTATTCAACTTGACTTTATAAAAAAATTCATTTAAAATTTTTTTATTGAAATTATTATTTTTTCAAATTAGATCTTTTCAAATTGGTTAAAAAACCCCTATAAAAAATCCAATCAATTAAATTTTTTTTTTTTTTAGATTTTCTCTTCAAACTTACTTTTTTTTTTATCTAAGTTAAGTTAGTCGACTTCGTAAGCTGATCTCCATATCGGACTTAGTAGTGTGCAAAACGACACGGCATGTATGCAGCTTAAGGTCAATCGCCATTGAGGGAATTTTCAAACAGTCAGTTATTTCAACCAAAATGTACCAATCTCTTGTCAATCATACCGATCGACCTGATAGCGTGGTAAGACTTACTAAGATAACTGATTTGAATTCATTAATATGTCTACTTGAGATCGATCAGGCCATATTTCTAAAAAATGTAGTTACTTCAGAGAGCGATAGTACTTTGCGTTTGAAAAGTTTTAGTGTTTTCCTCTATTACTCTGTCTCATCCCCATGAACTGTGTAGTATTTTAGGTGGTGTCCATTGGTTTATAGGTCAATGGGTTAGCCATCCAGAACAACGTGAACGTTAGTCATATTATGTCGGTCGACCTGTATCTGCGTGGCTGGTGAACATTTGTTCCATGTAATTTTTTTTTAATCATTTTAGGTTAGATTATAGCTGACTTTTTTTTGGTCGGTGATATTGAATTGAGTTCGTGCTACTCTTATATGTTTGAATTGAGTCCAGCTTATTATCTTAATATCTTTGAATTGAGTCCATATAGATAAAATGTTATAACTACCTACCGGTGGCGACCTTGAACTTTGCACATCATATTATAGCGCAGTATCGGATATGCAACGACAACGGATATTCACAATCAGTCAGGTCGAATAATTCGTGAACACACAATATTATAACCTAACCTTACGTTAAATTATTACCAAAAATGGAGTGTATGCTGAGTGAAAAACAAAAAGAAATCAGAATTATTGAAGGGTTCAAATTTCGATTTCATAAAATGTTGCAAGGCGAGGTTCAACGGTGGACATGTTGTAAAAACTCTTGTAAGTGTTTTTTTAAATTAACCTCTAACAATGTTTTGTCAGGTATCTACAATGAATATAATCATGATAAGTGTGACGAACAAGAGTACTTACTTGACAGAAAATTAGTAACGCAGTTAAAAGAAAAGCTGTGGATGATATTTCTGCTCGGTCATCGAAAATTTTACATAATGAGTTTAAAAATGGTGACATTTCAGCTCTAACAACAAACGACGTTACTTTAATCAAACAGAATATTCACTATGTTCGTTCATTGCTTCATCCAAAATTGGTGTCTCCTGCAGGGTAACGCTAATAGGCTGAAGGGACTCAACTCGAATAACCTAACAATATCGGTCAGACTCAACTCCGATAACCAAAAAATATTTGCGGGACTCAATTCAACGTCAGCCGACTTGGTATGTAAATTAGTTTAGGTTGGGACGTTGGGTCAGCAATTTATGATTATACATATAATTACACATTACCATATTAGAAATAGAGCTATAGGGAATCTAAACAATTTTCTGCACCCGCATTTTATTCCTCCTGGCATGAAGTATTTTTTAGACATTAGGTAGTGCCGGTAGTAGACAAGGAATTTGATTCTTCTTGGTTATTTGTTTTGACTGTTAGGTGTGCTCTATATTTTTTAACATATATTATCTGTATAATCGCCTGTCAATAGTATAAGCAAAAAATAAATTGCGTATTATTATTTTACTTACATATTGTAAGTAATCGAGTATTACGACGAAATATTATCGTACAAGAATTATTTACAATGATGCATTTGTTTTATTATTAAAAAAAGGTTTATACGAATATAATGCAAAATTTTGTTTTAACCATTAATATTGTTTAGTTTTGAAATAGAAGATTTCCGAAAGAATTTCTGAAACAAAATAATGACGTGTTGCATTGAATTCTTCATTAGAATAGGACGAATGGGTACTTATATTTTAAAACAATAGGTATGTTACCCTTATTGTGTTATATATATATGTTAAAGTTTTGTCTACAATACAGTATGGTGAATGTTGATAAGCATTTTTTATTTTTTTTATTATGGTATCGAGGACTGGAGGAGGAACTTTGGTGCCAGTACTCCTCCAGCCCCCATCGTGTATGTTGATGAGCTTTATAATATTGTATGTCCTGTCTTAATTAACTGTAAATGTAACATTATGGCAGTAATTCTAAAATTTGATTTTTTTAGAAGGGGGAGGGGTGTCACAAAATTACTTACGTACGAGCATATTAGGTACACAGACATATAAGATAACGAAAATTTACAATTAAACGATATCGAGTATAATCGTATAATATTGTATTATATACTGAATTAATAAAAGCGTAAATTATATTAAATTTAATTGTGTAGTAGATGGACTGGTCTGTCTGTTCTCTCTCTCTTGGAATTTTTAGTGCCAAATATTATGCCATATTTATTAATATAAAATGGATGTAATAAAATTATAATTGATGATACAATGATACATATTTCATAAACATTTACTTTTTATTATTTTAAACCATATAACTAGCTATTCATATAATATTAAAACATAAATAAATACATTTATCTGGGCTTAATTAAACCTAATTATAACACCCTCCTGTGATTAGATTAGTTAGGTTTATGATTCATTCGAACCACTCGGTAGGCTAACTTCTGATTGTTTCAATATTGGTTCTATTTCTTCAACAGGTTTATCCTGAGTAGAGGTTGGTTTTGTCACTTCAAAATCACCTAAAACATATTCAAACTATGTAAGTATTAATAATATTGATCATAAAAATAAAATAATAATAGAAGTTTAATTGTCATAATTGTATAATACTACACTACAATACTATACATTCAGTAGGTACTTATTGTAATGAGAAATAATGTTTGATCAATAATAGTAAGCTTTGAATTATTTATTTTGTTTATTTTATTTACAGCTTAAAAAAAATGTACTTACAATGAAACATGTAATACATAACGAATACTGCATTCAACTCAGGCCATACATCGAACTCTGATAAATAAATTTAACTATAGTAGGACATTTTTTAGACAAAACATATGCATTTAAAAAAGATAAAGTGATGTAAATCATTGATATAAATTCTATAAACTTCTGATTACACTAAATCGTAAAGTTTATAAATAAAGGTATAAATTAAATATTTTTAAAATATATTAGTTTATTGAGTTTTAATATAACATGATTTAGATTGTTTTAGATTCTGGGTGGAGCGATGAATGCATTCACTTAACAATGATCTAAGGTTTTATTTTTTGCTTTACTTATCATATTTTGCCTTTTGGAGCAGTAAAATTAAGAGGTTCACTCGACATCTACTTAACAGCAAATGTTCTAATTTTGAATTATCAATTTATTGGTTTACTGAGTGATCAATTTAACATAAGACGCTTGTAATGAGTATCTTACGTTAAATGGATTACCGCATTAAAGTTCCAATGAACTGACTTGTAAAGCATTATAATTTGGGCCAGATGGTCCCTTTCTATCAGGGGTTACCAATTAATATTTTTGAATGGCAGCATTATGAATATGTAAATTAATCAATTTATGCTATTTGGTGACCCCTGCTCTATGTGACTAAGCTATGATTATCTATAAGTACTTAATGGCAGTAAGAATGCTTAAAATTCTTTCACTCAAAAACTTAAAATTTACTTTAAAAAGTAATGTAGTTTACCAAAATGAAATAACGAATATTACTAAGATGAACTTACTTTCAAATACTACAAAGTTTGTTTAATTTAAAAAAAAAAAATCATGTTTATTTTATGTTAATCGACAAAATAAATGATGAGACGTTAAAATATATTTTGAGATTAGCATGGGCGTTATGCATTGTTAACAAGATGACATTACACCGAAAAAACTATTAATTTCGACAATTTTGTTTTATTGAGATGGTAAACTTAAATCAGTTAGTTGTTTGTCGGTATTAAATATTTTATTCTATCATAAATAAAACGTCACGTTTGATATCAATCATTTAATTCGTATGTTATAAATATTAGTACCATAATGGTCTTTTATTTAAAATGTCACTAAGTAATTTTTTTGCTATGCTGTCTTTAAATTTTATAGACAATTTATTATTGTTCGATTTTTGTTAAATTATTGTCAACCAAACATAGGGTTTTATATTTATGAATGTGATTTTTTTCTATCTTAAGTTTTATTTAAGTATCAAACTATTTTAAGAAAAATTTTAATTCAACTTACATCGCAATTTTCCTTTTCCATAAAAATGAGGTATTAATTCCTGAGGCAATGGCATTTTGTCTAAAACGAAAATTGACTTATAACCTATTTTATTAAATATAATAACACAAGTGCGGTTGTGTAATTATGTAAATTAATCATATATCTTCAGTGATATGAAATTGTATTTTTATAACTATTCAAATGTGTAATATATGTGATCCAATAGATACATAATATGAATTTAAAAAATAAATTATAATATTATTAAAAAAACGTTAATACAATTGTCAATTACACAATAATGCAAAAGTACATCTCACAAATTACCTTGAAATTACTACAAATATAGTGCTCTAACTTCCAAAATATCATCAAATAAACTTAATATATTTTGAGTGTGTATAGAGTAAGAGTGTATGTTGGATAACTGATAAGTATAAATGTTAAAATTCGAAACAATAACACTTTACCTTGTTGTATCATTCTTATTACATATGATATATATGATTCACCAAACATTGGATCAACTGAAAATACAATTAAGAAAATAAGTATTTTAGGGTGTTTTTTGCTTCCACCAATACGAAAATTTTCTCGTAAATTTCTCTCTGAATTTTTGTTTTTGCTATAAATCGAGGCATATCTAAGTACATGCATTAGATTGAAAACTTGAAACCCAATCTTTTTTAAAAATATGTTAACATTAGTAAGCTGTCTGTAGAACTGCTCGTTGAATTTGCATATGGGATGATTATTATTTGTTGTTCTGAATAATTTGTCATTGAAATTTGATCACACTGAGAGTGGCAACAAAATACTTTCGGAAATATAATTTTCAGAATACCGTACAAAAAATGTGTGGACTAGTGAAACTAAAAATAGTGTATGTATACAAATAAATAAGGAATACATTTTTTATATGTTTTGAATTTTTGGTTTACAAAATATATTGTCCATCAATAAGTTATAAAGTACTTGGTTTTTATATTTATTATTTATCTAATTGTACATACAATTTGAAAATATCCAAATTTGGAGTTTTGACTTTTTGAGTCCATTATAAATATTAAAGTCAAAATAGGTAACTTACGCTTCTTTATAAGGAAAAGCCACACCGAACGAAGAGCTAGAAAACAAAACGGTTAGCTACTAATTACCCTGGTAAATTCGAATAAATAATAATCTGAATAATCGATGTGATAATCAACGGTGATCAAAGTGTGCTTTGACTTAGCTCCCCTCCCAAAGGTAATACAATTTTTTTTAAATTCGTTTTTATGAGGGAACGACCAATTTTTATAATACATTTATAAGTTATAAGTTATAATAATGTTTATAGGTACCTACAACCTACAGTATTATTTAAAATTTGTCAATGTCTAAAATATTATAATCTTCGTTTTAAAAAATATTAGTATTTACTTTTAAGTTAAAATAATTGAGTATTGTAAAAATCATTATAGCCTAATAATATTGTAGGTAATAATAACTATAAATTATACTTACATTCATCCGTTGCATTAGTTTGGTCTGTGTGCATATTATACAAAAATAGGTAATAAAATAATTGTATGAATTAAAATAATATGTACTTTATAGTTTATACATTATCATCAATTTTTATTCTAAAGGTATTTCCTATTTAAATAACACAAGCAAATAGTCTTGCAATATCGCATATATTATCACAACACTATTTTATTTTTGAGTTTAAATACTAATAAGTAAAATAATAAATATTCACATCAAGATTAATTTTAGAAAACTATTTTTCTTAATAATTTAAAACACATGATGAAGTTCAAAAAAGAATTCTTTATTATTTTGAATTTAATATAAAAGATTTGAAATACGTTTTACAAACTTTTATTGTATATTTTACGTATACTTAAAAATGACTAAAAATGACTTACTATGACTATTTCCATCTGTACGATATACAATTTAGTTATAATATATTCAAACAGATAAATGTATAAAAAAAATATAAATTTTAATACTTTATAATGTGTGTTGTGTAGCGAATAAAGATTTAAACAACTATTATTGCCGTTCTGTATTTGACACACAAATAATTGTCTTAATATATTAAATGCTTGTAAATTGCATACTTAAAAAAACTATACTATCTTAATTTAATAAATTATATTTTGGTGTTTAAAATGATAACTTACATAAAGTGTTCACTGCATGATTGCAAAAACATTTATAAAAATAATTGTATATTTATATGTATATAATAGGTTTACAGTGTTATAAAGCTTAAATCTTGAAATATTTTAAATTAATAAGTTGCGAATTAATTCTAAAAAAATTTCGTGTTGGCATAGTTTGGTAGGTACATGTAATTATTAAAATTTAGCCTGCAGATGATATTTTATTACTTTTTTTTTCCTTTTCCTTTTCTTCTTCATCTTAATTATTCAATGTTCATAATATATTTTTGCTAATTTTATAACTTATAAAAGTAACAAATTGTGTAATATATCTATCTTGTATTTACTTAAATATTGCAGCTCTTGTTAATAAATAGTTGTAATTATTGTTGTGTAGGCATTCATAAATATACCTTGACTAATAATTTGGCTAAAGTTAATACTTACACAATAAACTCTCTGTATGTGATAAAAAATAAAGTACAATCATGTATGAATAATTTTGATAATGTAAGTTATGAATAATCATAAATAGTTTAATTAATAATAGTCCTGTGCAAAAATTAACATACGTATACGCCCAGTGTCGCCTGTATTAAAAATATTAGCATGTACTATGTAGGTATATGTCTAATTAAAAGAATGAATTGGTCATTTGTTACGCAATTTTTATATTAAATGTTTTGGTATTTTAACCAGAAAACTATTATTTGCTCCTCCATTCAACGATATTTACTGTAATTTATTTATTGTTAATATTATATTTAGTGACTAGCATAAATTAAAAAAATCACTTTGGTTTTCAAACACGATATGACCTTACATATTAATTAATATTATTTAGGTATTGTAACACATATTGTACTTACTAGTCATTGGTACTGTTTAAATTAAAGTTAAATAATTTTAAAATGTTTATAGGTATCCAAAAAGTTACAACAGAACATGATCTATATTATAAATATTAAATATATATGATAAATTAATTTAATTATTATAAGCGTTTGAACTTGTTTGTACATCATAACTTTACAGTTTGGTAATAAGATGATGTTCAGGACAATATTATGGTATGGTAATCAATACAATTTGGAGATTTTTTTTATCTAAAGAACGCTTTATAATTAATATTATTATATTATCGTTGAAATTATTGGGGGAAGCGAAGCGCATTGATATCTCGTCCTAAACTTCTGGACTAATCTTCAAGAAGCTTGAATTATATAATACATCATTCATTAATATCTGGAGGTTTCATAGATTAGGTTTGACGTTTTTAAATTCTGTAGTTAAAACGTAATTATGATTATAATTACTTTTCTACACAATAAAAATATGTCCTGACTAACTAATCAACAAATACCTACAATGGAGATTTCATTTCCATGGTACCTTCGGACCACATGTAAGGGTGCGCTAATAATTATGTTAAAAAATTAAGATTTAAAAGATGTGCAACGCTGGGAATTTGTTTGGATCGGAAATCGAATATTTTTTTAATATTTTTGTGGTTGCCTTATTGGTTAAAGAAAATAAAATAGTTATTATGATAGAATATAATTAATTAGTAATCTACTAGAAATGCAACATGTTTATTATCTTAAAAAAATATAAAAATTTCACTTATAATATGCCTAGAAGATATCGACGAGGTGGGCACATAAGTCACCAAATCTATAGCCAGAGACGATACCCCCCAAAATAACGTTTAATGTAGATGTATGTATTAATAGGAAAGTTGCTAGGCGAAGAAGGTAATTGAGAGGTGGCATCTGAGTTTTTAGGGGTTGGTGGGTGGATAATGGCCAATACGTAAAAATTTAGTGTAACTATATTATTTAAATAATAACTATGACAGGTAGTTACAAATATAACAGTGAATGCCTTTATCAGATTATTGGTGATGTGGGTGAGTGAAATATTATTAGACTAGCTTCTGAAATGTTTCAAGTTTTCATTGGATTTATACCTAAAATCATAACTAGTTTTCCTAATGGAAATACGATTATTATAGTATTGAGAATTACAATAAAAATGTGTTTTTTTTTTAAGTTTCTAAGTGTTTTTCATTTATAAATTAGAAAATTGCAATAAATTTAGAACTGTATAATATTTTGTACTTACAAAGTGTTCTTACTGTAAATAATAATCAGTAAAACTATTATTATCATCTTTACATTCATAAATAATAATATAAGTGGGCAGATAATTATTAATTATTATCATACGACTAAAATAAATATAATATAAAGTTTAAATGTGAACTGCAATGCATGCATTTTTTTAATATTATTATTTTTGTTTTTTGTTGAGTTAGCATTTGAGGTCATTTTTACGGTTAGTGCATGTGTGTGTGTGATGAGAATTTGTCACTAAAAAAAAGGGTAGTCACCCATCCAGGAACTAGTGACACTGATGCTCGACTTCAGAACACTTAGTGACTGAAGCCAAAATTGAACCACACCAGGCAGTTTTTTTTTATTATTATTTTAATACAGAAATACGAGTACGTAACGGACGTCAAATTAAAACATGAACATTGCTGAAACACTAATTATTACAAATATCGAATTATGGTTCTTATTATTTTTCTAAAAAGTTAGGAAGTTGGATGAATTGACTCTGTTCAGCCGATAAGGAATTTTGAATTTCGATAATTATATTTTACTAAACAGCGTGAAAATTAAAATGTGATAAATGCAGTTATATTGAATAAATAGTAAATACAGATTCTATGAATTTATATAACGGTAAAATAAAAATACTAAAATATATGTATAGATTTTAAGTTAACTTACAATAATTTATTTCTTCCTCAACTAAAAAATGTATTTGATGCATTAAATAAATGTTATAAGTAAAATTATAATTATTATAATAATAATAATAATATACAAATAATATTATAAGATAGTATACCGAGCGATCCCTATTGACCATAAGACACTAATCATTTAAAAAACCATTACAATTTTCGAAAATATTATTTTATATAATTTAAACTATATTTTCACTGTTTTTTCTTTTTATTGTTGTCGTTTTTTAATTATTCAGTGACAACATGCATTTTTAATTCTTTAATCCAGAGTAGAAAAATATTTTAGAGTAGTTAAATACATAAAAACCGAATTTTGGATGAGTAGTTTTAATGTTATAACTTATAAGACTAATAAATTATAAGTATATTAAGTATAGACGAGTTGAGTGGAGTGAAACAGATAGACACCCCACAAATTGCTGGTCAACTATTCCGCTTATACCTAACCGTTAAGTACTTATAATTAATAAATAAATAATCGAAATACCCGAACAATATTTTGATTTAATGTATGAAATAAAAAACTTTGTTGTCATTCAAATGAGAAAAACATCAAAATAAATTATGACAATACATACAAAATTGCTTGTTTGATTAAAAATGTACTTACATTTAGCAACTTCAGGAGTCGGAGTGATTTTTGCATTATTTTTGAGCATTAAAAAATAAAACAATTTATAAATATCATACAAAGAAGAATATTAGTCTAAACTAAAAAATATTTCAAATTATGATAACCTATTGATAAAAATTAAAGTTTGGTTATTATTCCCTGAATGCCGTTGATTGCGTCCCAACGACAGGTAAACAAACATTTGTTCACCTTTTTCATGTTCTGATTGTGAAGTATATAACGTTAAATTACACTATTCAAAATATTATTAAGGAGTGTAAAATTATTATTGATATGAGAATGGGGAAATTAGTTTTCAAATAAACCATTTCTTTATTACATTATCAATATTTTCCGGTGCCTTCTAGTTGCCTTTCAAAATATTAAATTAAGAAACGGCTAGTAAACTTCACTAAAATATTCAAAGATGAATTTAGATGAATTCATACATAATAATATATTGTGTAATACTTATAAATGAGTCTTATATGTGAAAATATTGAATACATAGATATGTGTCTATTTTACCATAGTAAATACCGTGGTTTTATTTTAAGCCTTTTTAAAAATTTCATATTCAACTGATTGAGAATAATATATTAATAATTGTTAATCACATTTTTTTTAGATATTTAGAATTATATTTACGATTAATAGTTAGTCGTGAAAAAGGGTATTACACTTAAACCATTATTTTATTAAATATTAACATACCAATTTTGTCCTTTTCAGGTTCAGTGCTAGAACCTAGACTAGAACTTGTTTCTGTAATATTATTTTGTTTCTCATGTTAACAAAAATGTTTATAAAATCAATATTTAAGTACATAGATTTAACTCATTTAATTAACAACTATATGGAAAGTACGCCTTTAATTGTATTCAAAACGAACCTTCACCGGTTTTTTCAGGTTTGGTGCTCGGACTGCTTTTTGTACCTAATAAGTATTATTTTGTTTCTTATAATAACAAAAGTGTTTATAAAAACAACAATTAAGCCCCAATCAACAATAGTAGATGTATACGGTATATTATTACCATGTTGGTAATCATAGTTTTCAAACTATCAAATGTATGAAATAAATTAACCACCAAGGTTTAGTATAATTATTATTCCACAGTAATTTCATACAAATGGTGTACAAAAAATATCACGATTGTTTTTAACATTTTAAAGTCCTTATTTTTTAGTCAGTCTTTTGAATGAAAAAATTAACTTTAAATACTATAAATATTAGACTTTTTTTTAAACAATTGCTTACCCTCTTGCTGTTTCTTAATGTAATCTTCTTTCTTTTCTATATTCATAAATATAAAAAAATATTTAAACCAAACATTTAGACTGCTACATGACCGATAATTTTGTTTATGTAAATTGCTTTTATCGTTAAAGATACTAGCGAATATTATATGTTCTGATATCTTTATGATTTTTATGAATAATAAATAAATAAATTATGACATTATTTTATGAATTTTGTTTTTAGTTGGGTTTTGGGCATTAATATAGTATCGATTAAAATTAATTTGAATGGTGTGCATAGAAACATTGTACTGTCGTGATAAATATAGCAATGGTAATTACCCACTTTTGTCATCTAATCGAATGAAAAGTATTAAGTTCTCTAATGTTAAACCTTAATCGCAGCGAACGGTTCGTTTAATCGTATGCAAGTTTTAAATTTGTTGGCGCACTATAAATTATTAATTTAATTGTATTCATATCGAATCCTAAACTAAGTTACGATTTCATTCAAGGTATAAATTATTTGAATAAAGTGATGCCTGAAATATAAAAAAAATAAAACAATTTTCCTTAAATCTACAGCTATTTTTATTTGTTAAATTTAACTTGATTTTTCAACAACTCGTATTAGAGTATTAGACTATAGGAGTATAATATTATGATTCCCTCCTGTTTATTCTGTGACAACATCTATAGTTTCTTAATATTCAAATAAAATTAAAAGTATTATTCCAATATTATATTAATAATAAAATAAGTAATATAATGCCTAATTTTTATCAAACACTTACTTTCACGTAATTCTGTATAGAATATTTTTATAAAAATATTTAAAAACTATAATAAGCTAAAAATATGAAGTTTGGGCATGCAGTGTAAATATAGATATTATTTGTATTACAACGTTGTTCATTACATTACATTTTAAATCGATTATGGTTTTATCAACAAATCATTTACTAGCACAAATAAATATATATTTAATTCTAAATTTGGATTGGAAAAATCAAAAAATGTATAAGTATTTGATATTTGCAAAAACAAGAACAACAGATTATATATTAAAGTTAAGTATTGTCACCATGTACATATTTAGCCATTAATTTGAAAATCATGAAGGTACTTACTGATGTAATCCTCTATAAAATACATGTATTTAAAATTAAAATTAGACATTAATTTTTAATATTCATATATTATTTGAACTCATATCTACAATTGATTCGTATACAATTATGAGATTTTATTATTTTGCATAGGTACCATATTTTTATTTTACATTAGGTATGCCTGCGGATCCGTATAGGCTGACCACCATGGTATTACTGACGAGCATTGATAGAAAAAGGAGGGAACAATCAGATATGGATCCACAACAAAGATTTGAGGGGGAGGGGGGTTAAAATGTCAAGAAGAAGTTTTAAAGTATCAGAAATTTCTTTAGCTCACGGATTAATTAATGCAGATGAGATATGGGAACCAATTCGATCAGTAGGGTAAGAACTCCCGAACCAACTCTGTAACAACTGTCGCTATCGATTCAATATTTTTAATGTAAGTCATATTTTAAGTATGCACATAAAAAATGAAGATAGAGTGGGCGTCAGTCTCTACTTATAATTTTATTTAGCTTTGCTGATGCTGATCTCTGATGAATGAAAGAGTAATATTATGAATTATGAACTCAAAATCGAGCTTAATCCGAGTGTAACAAACAAAATTAGACTGTGTTTGTCGGGTGCAAAGACGACAGCCGAATGTGTACCGTACCCATGTGGAATGTTCTTGTACCAGTAAACAACACAATTAAAATTAGTTTTTTTTAAATAAAAATACTGCGTTATTTTATGATAGGTACACCAAAGGTTTATCACAATGTTTGTATATACTCATATTCTAGATAACATATAAATCTTATTTGTATACAAACAATTAATAAATAGGTACTGGAAAAAAAATCTTACCAACAGTTTTTTCTGTAAAACATACATTAAAAGAATGAAATTATTTATTTTGTATTTATTAATAACATAACTTTAAATACAACAAATATTAAAAACTTAACTTTGCTGTTTACTTAATAACCAATTTACATCAGAGTATTTACTTGTTACATAAATACTAAACTTTTTATTAGCGTTACCTATATAATTTATTTATTTTTATTATTGAGGCATTAATAATATATGTGAGCTATTTGTTGTTAAATTCATACTTATTTTATTCCATGTATAATGTTGATAAAATAAAAATTTTACTTATTTACAAATCACTTATTGATTCAATTAACTAGTAGATATATAACCATTGTTTGATATAACATAACAAAAAAATAAAAACGCAATGTTTCTATAATAATGGGTAGTTAACTAAAATTCAGATCCCCAGGGTTGAATTATTAAGAACTCCCAAAAAAATATCTAAAAGCTAAATGTTAACAAAGAATAAGTCTCATAAACGGCAGTTATTTTATTGACAATTAACTTACTTAACAAAGTTCCTGCGTTTATTTAATTATTCATACATAGGAAAAAATAACTGTATTAATATATTAAAGTAATAAACAATATTAATAAACTCATATAATAATTAAGAAAATATTTAGAGTAAAACATTTAAGTACCTTACTAGGTATTGAAAGTACCTTTTTTAACTCATTATCACAAATTTGTGTATGATATATTTTATAGTTTGTAACACGTATCAACTAGAAATTATTTCGATAAATAAATTATAAAATGTCGTAAATCGTGTAAGACTACCTACGAAATGCTATATTTTATTTATCGAAAATGTTAAGATTTAACAGTATATTTATAAAATCAAAACTTGCATTAGTGGAGAGTTCACGGAGAGAAAATACATTATATGAATAGGTATAGACGGTATAGTTATTAAAATGGAATGCAATATTAGATATTATAATATGATACAGAATTATCACCTATTAGATTAAAATGTAAAAAAAAGGATTTTAGTTATCAGCACAATTGATGAACATTTATATTAATAATTGTTTAATATGATGTACAAAAAACTTACCACATTCTCGAACTACACATGTAATAAAATATAAAAAAAAATAATAGTTACATATCAACACTCAAACAATAACAATAAAAAATAAAATATGTTTACCATATTAAAAAGTTTAATATTACATAGACACTAAAAAGTATTGTACTATTGCCATACATCACTGTCTATTGGTATCAAATTGTTAATTCTCCAGATGTTGGTGTTAATAAAAATGCTGTTATTTCATATTTTGAATAAAGCATGGTACAATGCATGTAATTTTTAAAAAATTGGTGTCAAGCTCAAAAAGTTAAATTAACTGTTTTTAAAGGATATTGGCAGTTTTATTTAGATGTTATTTTGAAATATTATTTAGTTTTTGCACATGTAATGACCTTGTCAGTAAGTATGGATTCCCGAGGTGAAAATCACATAACTGGTAAATGAAACAGTGCTAGTTTCTTTGGGCTATTCAGTACCCAAAGTCAATACTATTTGAATAAAATAACTATTGGATGATAAATTAAATACTAATATCACCATAAAAGGTCACAATATTTAGGATCAGCTTCAACAAGAAACAATTGAAGAGATTATAATATTATTATCATGAGACTGACATGGCGAAAAATGATAATATAAAGTACAGTCTAAATTGTATACTTAACTTAATCGTTAAACTTAAACAGTAACACGAAATATTTTAACCAAATGGTCTTGAATATTAGTCGGATTTTTCGGATAAACAGGACATTCAATATGAAATTGGAAAAAAGTTAAGTTCAACCCTTATTATCTGCACATTGAAAGTAAAACTAAAATGTATGAATTGGAAACCACAATTTTTGAAACAATATTTGGATAGCCCTATTTTTGATTTCCAACGTTTATGCACATAGTTTTTTTTACACCTACAATAACATTTTTAGAATAGTAATTAATTTCAAATTATGTAATTCGTACATTTTATCGAATATAGTCAACCTATTATTTTGTTTGCTCATGCACGTATTTGTTTGTAGGTAAGTAGGCTTCATACCTATGCATGACCTTATAAGACATATTTGACATGTACCATAAGTTGCTTGAAATAAATAATTAAATTCAGATTCGGTCTCAAAAATTAAGAAAACGTTATTTTGTTGCACGTGCAGTTATAGTTCAATGTCTATTCTATTCAATGAAAAACAGCATTTTATTTAACTGAAATATTTTATGTCCGTTAAAATTTGAACCGTAATAAGTATAACGGAACAAAATTGTGGTAGCAAAGTATCTTAAAATATTTACCATTATTTTGTCACTGAGAAAAAATAGTAGCAGTGGGAGTTAGGGTGTATTAACTATATTACGTTTTTGACTCTTTGGAACAGACTTTGTCTAAAAGTTGCTTAACTTTATTTTATTATATCATAATTTTTTAATAAAAGTAAAATTATTATTACATAATCTAATTCTCGTCAAAATACTGGTTTCATCGGTAAAATTAGATAATTCTAAAAAACAAAAGTTAAAAAAAATCATAAAAATATAAAATGAGGTAGGTATTATTTTATTATAATAAATATTAAGCTATTGAATCGAATAACAAAGCAAATCAAATATTAGACTCCACAAGTAGGTTTGTTTATGATCACCCAATATAATTCTTTAGTTTCAAGATTTAGGCAAAAAATGAACTATATTATTTTAAATTCTGAGCAGAGCCAAGACTGTAGGTACAAATTGTAATACAACGTAGTTACCACATAAGTAGTTCTTAAAGAAATTTATAAGCATAAAAAATACACGACCACGGTTTTTATTTATAAGCAAGTTCAAATTTTGATAAAATTAAATATTTAAAAACATAATTTTTAGTGTTTTGCGGTTTTATTCAAATATATTTTTAGTGGATGTGAAACTTTTACGTGTATAATGCTTTACTATACACAATGACATTTAAAAAATATTTAGATTAATTGTACTAAAATATACTTATAGTAATATAAATGCATAACAAAATAAACTCGGGAAGATAGTATGACAGACTTTCTCCACCCAGAGTCCTGTTTTGAATGCAATATATTAATCATTGACATCAAATTTATCACATCCATTACAATGGCCAGCTTAATTACGATACAAAACTAGGCATTTGCTGTCGAACGACGTCCACGATTTTACTAAAATGGTTAAGTTTCTAAAAATGTACTTACCTATACGAACTAAAATAAGTATGAAAACACATTAATAAAATTAAAATTAATATTGAAATGTAATATATTAATAATATAATTACATAACAGGTGTAGACATTATTAACTGAATATTTTAATAATTTATAATGAGCGAATTCAACTTTATTACATATAGAAAGAAACTTTTTAGTCATTTTTAGATAAGCGACTACCTAATATTGATTTTTATACTTTAATTATTTCCATCAAAACATTTAAATCCTTACGGCGATGATGTGTGGAAAATATTTAAGAATAAAATGAAATATTATTGACATGAAAAATATGATAAGAATAAAATCCAACAAAAACCACTTACTTTGTTGATATAATCTACTTTCGTTAATCATGCCTAAACATATTAATGCATTTTTTGTTTAAGTAATAATAAAATAACAATATAAGGTACGACAATTAAATAGTCGTAAATTAAATACCCAAAAAATAAGTAATCCACAACTTTTTAATTTTTATATTTGATACCTATTAATCATATAAAACGGTGGATAATTTTAGTTATCTTCAACAATGAATACAAAAATGCGATATACGTATAATATTACTATAACGATTCTAAAAGTGATGACCATGTTAATACAAATAAATAAAATAATATACATTTAAAAAACTATTATTAGAATAATTTATTATACCCACAAACAAAAAAATATACCTATAGTGTACCATAATAAACAATTATGTTAAGTTTATTAAAAGTTGTATGAATTACCTTTGTATTTATTGTAATCTATAAAAATGTATTTATTTTATAATGTTTGTATTAAAATTAAATAGATACAATATGGTTTTATCATATTTAAAAGCTTAACAATATATGAATATATCAAGAGATACAGAAGCACAGTGTTAAATGTGTCATCATGAATATACATCAAGGATATATATAATAAAATATTTTCATCCACCTTCATATTCATATATACATATATGATACATTTTTACTAGTCCAAATATCTTTTAAATTGTTCTTTTATTGAAAAATAAGCTGAAATAAACTCAATATATTAATGATTACATTTAGATTATAATATACGCCATTGATGCCCGACATTTTTTCGTAATGTTTGTGAACTTAGTGGCGTACTTGCCTGTAACTTGGCATGTTACCTACTACTTATACAATTCAAACTCATCCAACAAATTTGTTGCATATTGTTGATAAAAATGTTTAATTTGCTGGAACCATTCTTTAAAGATGTATAAACAATTATTGTCTAATAACGCCACTAAGCTCACACCTGCAATGGCCACAAATTCAAAAATATCGTATACCTATAAAATAATATAACAATATGTGTAGGTATTTAAGTTTGCTGGAAACATATTTGTAAGCTGAATTTTTTTTTACATATTTACGAAATTTCAGACTATTATTTAATCTAATATTAATATTATATTACATAATCTAATATTTGACCCGAACGTCTACTGGAAAAATATGTCGACTGCAACTGTTATAGCTATTAATATTTGCTGGCTATTATTCATACACTAAAATTACTTCCCAAAATTAGGAAGTACCTATACTATCTAGTCAAATTATAAAAATGCTAAACAATTTGTACAGCGATCTTTGTTCAACGTAATAATGCAAATAGTAATATTGTAACCAAACACATCATAGAACATAGTGTACCTATTAAGCTGCCTTTATAATACAATTTAACATTACAAACAACTTTTATTTGAGCAGATTTCAATATTCTTCAATACCTATGACAGCCAAAACCAATACAAAAAACGATCAATTTCACGTTTTTGTGCACTCTTGTATAACCTAGCCACTAACATTCGCTACAAACACTTGTACAACAGACAACAGTTGTGCTCGTTATATACGTGTATGTTATAGCTAACGATATATCAAAACGATTTTTTTGTTGCTGGTGGGGAGGGGATGAGTAGGAATTCCAAACGATAGTAAACAATAACAGGGTATCATTAATATACAAAGCAATTAAGTTAGCGTGTCGAATATAATTCACAATAATTATAAATGTTATGAATTATCATTATATTTTATTGTCTGTACTGTGTTCGCTGCTTTGATGCAGAAAGGTTGTTTTGAGTTTGATTTTACGATGTGGCTAATGCTCACTTGTCTTAGTCGACAAGCAGTGTGAGATGTCTATTGTAATTGTTACAAAATCGATATTTTTGTGTTGTTTTATTGTTGATTATGCCACCTCGTGAAAACAATTCCAACACTTATTAGATATAATAACTATTTATGGAACGATAAAACTTCAAAACATTGATTTTGGCCAGTCAACCAAAATACTGCTCTTGTGTTATCTAAATCATTATAGTAGCAGTAAAAAAATAATACAACACAATTAAAGCACGAATATAACTTTTTAAAATTCACCACTCTTAAATCTACTAATGTAAATAAAATGTTATTTGACAAGGAATTTATTTTAAAAAAAATTTCTATAGTATCTACTTATTATACACAGGGTATAAATATGTTTAAACGTACAGATGCTTGCTTTACATATATAGCACAACATTTTTTTGTTTTAATATTTAATAGGTACTGAAAACTAAAAAATTAAATCTATTATAAATTATTTTGGAAAAATTCAAAATAGACAATTCGTACATCTGTTTTTAGAAAAATATTGGCTGTAAAAACATTTACTTAAATTATGCAGCTTATTTTTAAAACTTTCTAAAATCTCATTATTTTTGTTAATTAAAATTTATCCAGTCGTAAAAAACATTTTTAGTTCAAAAAGTAGGTACCTACTAGCTAAAATCTTTTTAAAAATGAATAAATTTTACTGCAAAAAATCATAAAAAAAATAAGCCACTTCGCTTAGATAAATTTTTTTACAATTAAAAGTTTTGTTAAAACCAGATTTAAGAATATACTTCGAATATTTCGAAAAAAAATAAAATCAGATTTTAAATGTTTTATTTTCAGTATTAGAAAATAAAAATAAAAATGTTATACTATATACCTGACAATGAATTAAATATATATATTAAAATAATTAACATTGATTAGAACAAAAGTTATTAAATATTAGTTATTTTAATATGTCAAGTTTTTTTACAACCTTTATTATATCTATTGACTATAATATATTATTTACAATAATAATAGTAAGTTAAGTACATAGTAGTATGTTCAATATTAATATAGCCAATATAGGTAACACGTCTGAAATGGTAAAAATATCTGACTTACTACTTAATGTTGCATCGAACTCTTGTTTGGTCAACAATTTACCTGTTACCACATAACAGATAAATTAAATACCTGTAGGTACGTTTTGTAACGTTTATTATGTTGAGAGTAACATGACAGAGAAATATACTTGTCAACCCATTTCTATTGTATTTTAAATAATAATGAACTGTATTGCTATGTAATATTAGGTACTTAGATAGTTTATTTAATATTAATTATATAAGTTGCTACATACCACGTCTGAAATGGTAAAAATATCTAACTTACCATATAATATCATTTGGCACTGATCTTCGGTATACTGTTTATCTCTCGCTACATAACCGATAAATCAGATATTTAGAGATACCTATATGTTTTATTACACGTTTATTACATTTCATTGTTATAGAAATACTCATATAAGACTATTAAGTCTTAATTAAGAGAATACCGCACGCTGGAGTTTTTGGAAAAGTTTTAGTCCATAAAAAGTCCATACAAAATTAATAACTTTTTGATAATATTAAAAATTATTTTTAAGATATCTAAAATATATAATGTGGGAGGGTAATTTTACTGCAACATAATATGGTTTTATTTAATTTTTTTCTTTTTTTTGTTATAATTTTTATATTTTGTGGTATTCATTACTGTTCGATGGAATAAATAATAAGAGTACAATACGCATACATATAGGCAATAAAACACTAATTATTTTACAGGTTTTTTTTTTTAATCTAAAATAATCGAAGTATAAGTAAAGGATACTTAATAATCATATATTTTAGGCACCTGGATAATTTTAATTATATACAAGAATTGTATATAAAAATGTATGCAAGGATGACATCTTAAAAGCTTTAGTAAAAAATATCTCCACTTAATATTATTTTTCAAATGCAAAAATGTTACATAATATACCTAAAATAGTAGGTAAGTTGTACCTATAGGTACCTAACCTATACCTATACTTATAAGTAGGGCCTGGATTTAAATACACTTAAAACCATACAGATATGCTCTAAAAAATAGCCAAAAATGCCCTTAGAAAATGCATTTTACCACAAAAATGACCTTAAAAATGCCCTTAAAAAATACAATTTACCACAAAAATGACCTTAAAAATACCATATATTTTTTTTTATACAAATTTTAATTTATAAATGAGACATAATAATTATTTTTAAATAATTATTTTATCAAAAAAAACTGAAAATTTTAAATGTTTTGGAGGTTTTAGGAGAAATATTATTCATATCAATATTATTCATTCTAAACATCTACAGTCAATAATAAATTAAGATAAGATAAAAACTAAATCGAAAAAAAATGACAATGCGCATGGAAAAACCCGATAAACCTTTTTAAATATCAAAAAAATAATTTATCTTTAAATAATTTTTTGAATAGTCCAAGTCCTATTTTGAACAAATATGCATTAAAAACCAACAAATTTACCCAATAATGCTAAAAATGCTCTAAAAAATAAAAAACGTCGAAATATGCAAAAAAATGCAAAATAAAATTTGTAGCTTTCAAACCCTCGTTACATGGAACGAATTATGTACTTAGAAAGCATTGTATATGATCAACCAAAAAAATATGTACTTTGCATTGAAATTCGGGCCCTACTTATAAGTTTTTTTTATTTGTAAACTAGAAAATTATACAATCTATACAAATAAGTACAATAGGCATAATGTATGGTTTTATAAATTATGTGTGATGGCTTGATGTCTTGGGGGAAGAAACCATCCAGTGAAGGTACTTCGGCTGCTCTACTTATAAGTATTCAATAATAACGACTTTTCGCTGTTGTAAAATTAAAAAAATCTACCTGTGTTGGTCGCAGCTACAAAAAAAAAACACAGTGTTTTATTATTATTCTTAATTATATTTTATTTCGTAACTGATCCTACGCTTACAACTTTTTGAGAATTTCACTCACCAAATACATTCGCTATATATTCTTCAAATGTTTTGTCATTAATGCTTGGCAATTCTAGAAAATACAAGTTGAGTAAATAATCGAACGAATAATTTTTTTTATATACTCATATGGCATTTCAGGTAGCCCAATAATCAAAAATATGAGATTTCCAGGACAACATGATTATGTTGTTTGCTTCAATTGTTTGAAGTCAATGGTTGAAGATATTTGAAAACCACTGTAGAGTGTATGTAAAAACACTAAAAACTAAAACGTTCTTGACACTGATTTTAATTGTATGAGATTCAAAATTCTTAAATAAATAAAAAAATGTTGCAATAGTGGTAGTACCTACAATATATAAATTAGATACATTTAAATTGAAATTATTTAACCGTCAAATAAGTATTGATAAATTATCAGTGATGATCACTTATTCGTCATCCACTATTATAATATGTGTAACAATATACTTAATAATTATTTCTTATTATGTGTTTCATAGTGTATATTATATAAGACGTAATAAATAATGACAAATAATTAATAATAAACACAATTTTGTATTAAAAAAAAAAAAATTAGATCTATAACATGTGTATGTGTGTAACACAATAAATATTTATTCAAATTTTAAAGTACCTATATAGTAATTGATACACCTACTACCTACGTTGAAGGGGGATAAAAACTCGATTCGAGATATGTATTATTCGAAATAAGTACCTTCCTAATTCAGTGTTATGAGAATTTCTTGGTTAATAAAAAGAAATTGAGTTGTCAATTTTTTAAAGCTATCGCAACATGTCTGTGTTATGTAATTTGTATTTATTTGACCCAAAGAAAATGTTATTTAAAATATATTCAATCAGGATAATATGATATTATAAAATGTACAAACCAACTAAAACATTAAGATACGAATGGTTGATAATCGACATCAGTGTGACTACAAAGACTAGTACACTCGTCCCGAACATCATTTTGTAGGATTAAAACAATGGAGTAAAAACGACGACCGTCGATATTGCTATCCAACCGAATAATGAATGTTTTATTCAAAGGAACTTTACACAACAGACAAATTTTTCTGTGTATATAGTTGGACATTATACGTTATAATCCAATATACACATATTATATTATATACATAATCAGGTTTCACATATGTTATTTCTTTGAAACATGTGCATAAATACGTTAGCGTAGGTATAATATACAACTTAAGGTAATAGGAACAATTATTATAAGCCTTGGTAACGATAATTCTATTGTTGTTGTACTGCAGCAGTACCCAGGAGAGGCTACCCCTTACTCCTTATCCTTAGATTTGTTCCTCTCCACTACTGCAGACCATATTAAAATATCAAAAATACAAACTATAGGTAGGTTAGGCCTACTATAACTAATCAGCATTAACACAGTAATCATACTGAGTGCCTACCTTGTAAGTCAAACATTTTAGTATCCAATATACCTTATAAACACAATCATGAAGTACAGCCGGCACAGGGTGATAAGTGATAAATGATATTAGCATTTAAAAATATAAACTTACCTGTAAAGATAACTGTCTTTATGTGATATGTCTAACTTTGCAATGGATAAGCTGATGGCATAATTTTGTGAAATTATTATAAAAGAACAATTTAATATATACGTATTATTAAATAGATAGAAATAAACAATTAGATTCAATAAGTCTCCAAATCGTTTTCATTCGATTCAACTTACTTCACGCAATCACACCACTAAGATTGTCACAAGTGAAAATTACATGCTTTATTTTGGATATTGGACATATCGAAGAACTTTAATTTGGCAACGTTGCATGAAAGTAAAAATGATATAGGTAGCAGTGCCTAAAAATGTACCACGAGCAATCCAATACCTAAAAAGGTTGGTACCACGAGCAATCGGATGATACCCGATATTACAGGGAAACTTTTCATTAATCATATTTGTTAATGAACTGATTACTGTGAGTAATTTTTTTGGATATCAGAATTAGAAGATTGTAGACTGCAGGCTGTAGAGTTGGTACATACTACATAGTATATATACACGTAATTATTGTATAATTGTATCTGCATTTTTTTAAATTCAAATTCAGAAACAGAAATTGTTAAGGATTATTTCAAATGTCGATATCTATACAAAAATCAAATTTCAAATGATACCCAAGTTACAATAGTTGTATAAATATAATGTTAGACGATCGAAGAAAGGATCCCTATGTTTTTCGAATGTCGATCCACTACTCGTCAAAACTTTAACACTCGGAAGTTGTAATACTAACTAACAATTGGTTTTAAATTTGATTTCTGTTTATTTAAATGCTCTGAAAAATATTGAGTCTAGGAATATGAAATTAAAATTTAGGTATACATAATACGTTGGCAATCAAAAAAGTAAAAATTTAAGAACAATAAAGATTAAAAAATAATAAAAATACATTTTTTTAAAGATGTTGTTTGGTTTTAAAATATTGAGTGTCCTACACTAAATAAAATGCTAACCAACTATAAATCATATGTATTGTATTTAATTGTAATCAAATTATTTTTCATAAAAGTCAACTAGTAGAAATGCTTTGACACCCACACATTTTTTCGTTGAAAATTTAATACCTGATCAATACATCAGCTTATATCGGCATATCTGTAAGGAGCTCTTTGGTTAAATACATACACCCTCCTCCCCAAGATAAAATCCTAAGTATGAGCAACTATTGCAACTGTTCAAATATAGTTATATACACAAATGTTGAAGTAAAATACAAAACAACATAATTTATGTTTGTTACCAAGATATAAAATATGTGGTAGTTACTAGAAAATAAATGAATTTGTATTAAGAACAAATTTATAATAAATTCAGTAAGACCTTCCTAATAATGGAATTGCTAGGTCGTACAAACTATTTTTTCCATTATAGAAAATTTAAATATGCGGAACATAAGTTCTATGGGACAGTTGTGATTCTCCGTTATAAGGAGGTTTTACTGTAGTATAATTATGAGATTATGTTCTTAAATGTAAGGCAAATATTTTTAACTGACGGATATGATCAAGCGACAAATCTTCTGAAACCTAATTTTAATTTGCTAATATATCTAATTGAGATCCATTAGACCACTTTTTTCAAATTTTGTTTCTCAAATTGCCTCTATGTATGTATGTATGTATTGTTTAAAGTTTTAAACAATGATTATTTTTAATTTAAATTTAATATCTTAAAATGTGGTCTGATTTTTGCAATTAGACATAACATTAACAAATTCCCAACAGTTTTCAGGAGTCTCATCGCGTTATCAAGTTCGTTGGTAGTTTAGTACTAGGATAGAAAAAACATAGACAGATAAACCTTATACTAGTATATTAAGACTAAGAAAAAGCCTATTTTGAATTCCTTAAAACTGTCCATTTGAAATCCCCTTAAGATTAAGATTTTAAGAATACCTTAAATCTAATGTTTTACTTTTAACGATTAATATACATAACACCAAACATCACGTCAGACATTGTATCCTCATAACTACACTATAATTAAGGTTTTATTATTATGTTAGCCATAGAATTTCCATTGCAATACATTATAACAGTAATTTGACTACTATTACTTATTAAGAGGACGTGATACCCTCGCGTGTTGTCCGTCTTACAAATGCGTAACATAGCAAATTTTACGCTGAGCAGAACACGTGTAGCCCCGTTAGTTTAAAAATTAGTGCGAATTGACCTCTTATAAAATCTAAAGGTAAAATTATTATCTAGTCAACCTCATAGGATTTTTATTATATTTTAATTTTAACGCGAGTTATGAGTATTTTAAGATGTATAAAAAATTTACAATTTTAAAATACTCATAACTCGCGTTAAAATTAAAATATAATAAAAAACCTATGAGGTTGACTAGATAATAATCTTACCTTTAGATTTTATAACAGGTCAATTCGCACTTATTTTTAAACTAAAGGAGCTACACGTGTTCTGCTGAGCGTACAATTTGCTATGTTACGCACTTGTAAGACGGAGACAACACATGCAGGTATCACGTCCTCTTAATGATTAGGTACATTAATGAATTGTGATTTTTTTGTGCATTTAACAGTTTATGAGAATATAAGTTAATTACCTACTAACAATTTTACTAACATTTTTAACTATGTAAATATCGTGAACTAAGTATACGTTGACTACATTTCATAATTAAAGTTAGAATAACTCATAAGACTATTAATTAAGAGAAGCCCGCGGATATACGTCATTTCGTAGCGGTAATTTTGTCGCAAGACAATTGGACGCATACGGCATTTCGTCGCGCGTAATATTGACGCATGCTACATTTGGTTGCGCGTCATTTTATCGCATATATTTATATAGGTATATTCTAAATAATAATAATTTTACATATCAGTCATTTTAGCTTATTGTTATATATATTTGTATTTATAAAATGTAAAATTAAATTCAAGCAAAGTAATAATAATAATAATAATCTAAAAACATCTTTTTTTTCACCTCTAAATATACATGTATTAGTATAAATCTTAAAAGCTAATGGCCTATGCTATCGAAGCTTTAATGTTCAATATAAAAAACATAACAATAATAATCTAAATAAAATATTTTAAAAAAACACAAAAATAAAAAAAATATTACTATTTATAAAAATTAAAATTATGAGCAATACCTTTCAAAACCTCGCATATTGGATTATTATTAACATTTTAATATATCTGCATTAATCTAACAGATGAATCATTATATTTTTTTTTTTTACATGGTAGGTACATGCCCAACAATTATTTGTTCTATTATCATTTTATTTAAACTTTCTTCTTTTTTTAATAACTCAATAATTGGTCGTGACTTATCATTGCTCAAAATCCATTATGTCAGCCCTCTATCTTATTGTTAGTCCTGGGTAAACTTTCTTGTAACCTATCATAACAGTTCTAGATTTCAATGGAAAATAATGGAGGTCGACGATTACCTCTCCTATCCAAAATGCCAATCCATGTGCCTTCAAAATATGTTATTAGTGGTGATAACATTTCTTCATTTTCGATATAATATGTGTTTTCTAATAATAATTCAAAAGATTCTATCACTTTATCCACGGGTACAAATGCAAGTGCAGGTAATTTTTGGGTTGATACCGAGTTGCGGTCGAGATTATAACAGGTAAAAAAAAAAATCCGAGTTGCGGTCGGGATCAAAACAGGTAAAATATCAAAATAGGTAAAAATCCTAGTTGCGGTAAAAAAATATGATTAATAATTATTAGGTTTTAAAATATTTATATATTTACATTTGTAATATTAAACCGATTCATATTTGTATGATACACATTTCACAAATGTCAGCGAGTCAATTTGTTTTTTCAAATACTGTTGTATTTTATTTTTAGTACATTTCTGATTTATGCTCTCACTTTTTTTATTAGTTTCCAAATCTACTGAATTGATTTTTGAATATGTATCAATCTGAATATTTTTGACATATTTCAAAAATTCAAATATGTTGGGATGTGGCGATCGGTTCTCAGTTTTGAACTTAGAATTGAACGCTTCACTTCCATTATTCGTTCTCCAAACATCATTGTTCAAAGCTGCCCAGAGTGTGGTTGGAAAAGTAGCATCATTGCCAATATAATTATCGACTAAATAGTCACTAAATTCAGTAACTCTTGAATCTATAGGTTGTTCGGCGATTAAATCTAAAAACACATTTCCCACTTCATCTGGAGGGAGAAAAGTCAATCCAAAAACGTAGTGTAACCATTAATCGTTAACCGGATACTGACCGCAATTAAAAGGTTAATTTTACCTTCAATATTATTAAGACCGCAATTCGTCTATTGCAACCGCAACTCGGACAATACCAATTTTTGAACTTCTAAAAAAAATTGTACATCGTCACTATATTGTTTTGCAAGACCATTGTGTTGTATTTGTCTCCAAACCGCTTGACTTAAGCGAAAGAAACATCCGTGATTATGAACATAAATCAGGCTTCAATAGTTCAATGATTTTAATGCTTGAAATAATTTTATATATTATGTTATTTCTTTTTTGTCCGGCAATAAAACGTATACTAAAGGTATAATATCACTATGCAATACTGAATGAATGGTATAAAATTGGTAAAATAAATTCGGACATGATGAAAATGTTCCATCTGAAAACCAATGTTCTGAATCTTTTAATAAATTTAAATTTCTCTCAGTCGAAAATAATATAATCCAGTCTTCATATATGTCACTATCACCACTGTCGTACAACAAAAAATTGTCTCCGTCTAAAGTTAATCTGAATTGATCAGGAATTTCAAAATGTAATGTTTGTGGATTTGCAGGAACGGCTTCAGAAATGTCCTTAACCCGTTGTATTGTTCTTTTCAAACATTTCGGATTCAGCAGTTGACCTGCCACTTCGGATGGTAACTAAAATAATATAATAATATATTATAATATTTATAATATAAATAGCCTATAATCAAAATTATTGAAATATTTATTATCGTCTCGATTGATAACGTGAAAAATACGAAAACAAACAATAAAAGATTAGCGATGAAACTACTCGCACGAAACAATTTAATAAAACTGTTAAACTGTTATATATTTAAAGTATTAAAGTTGTAAGTTTTTTGAAATATTATGTTCGAAAAAGATTAGTGATTTTAAAATTACTATAAAAAGCCAGTTTATTTTTACGTATTTTTAAACAATTATCGTGATTACCTATATAAAGATAAAAAAAAATCGCAGGTGTTGCGTCCTCTAAACTATATTAAAACTATAATATTTAATTACCTTTGAAGATGTCTCTGCTAATAAACTTCGGGTAAGCATAATTTTAGTGATGGCATTTTCTTTCATTTTATTGATAGTTTTTTTTACTTCAATTTTTGCCCTATTTTGTACATGGTTATGTTCCTTGTATTTTATGCGACGCTATCTATTTAATAAATAGGTATATAATAAATAATATATTAGAATACCTACACTAAGAAATTAAAAATGTTACCTTGCATTGTATGAGGGCGGCCAGTACAATTTTTAGACTCGTTACATCTCTAAATAACTTTTTCGCCAATAGTTCTTTCACGTTTATGAATAAAACCATCATGAATTAAAAGATCATGCCCTCGTCGACTTTTCATAAATCGTAAAGACATAATTTGTATATTTTGTAAAATATATAATAATTGTTATATTGCGTGGACCAAGCAAGACGTATATATACGTAGACGTGTATAGGTGGTACTGTAAAACACTATAATCGATAGAGAGTAGAGACTCGTGATGCCTGATGAGTAGGTACACTGTAATAATTCGAGTATTCGATAAAGACTCACGTAAAAACCAAATAATGAATTTCCTACTGAAATAAAAATAAATGATAAAGAAGGTACTACACCACTACCACTAAATTATAAAGATATTATATAATTATTATATATATTATATTATTAAATGTTCCTACCCTACCCAAAAAGACAAGATGATCTATTTTATATAATACTAGCTATATAAATATATGCGATAAAATGACGCGCGACCAAAATATGTAGCATGTGTCGATATTACACGCGACGAAATGTCGTATGCGTCCAATTGTCTTGCGACCAAATGACCGCGACCAAATTACCACGACGAAATCACGGGATACCACAATTAAGATACTGCATCAGACATTGTATCCTCACAAATACACTATAATTACGGTTTCATTATTATTATGTATTTATGTTAGAATTTTCATTGAAATACACAACAGTAATTTATCTAATATTGCATTAAATTATGCATTTAATAGTTTATTAGAACTACTACTAATTACTAATAATCTTACTAAAATGTTGAATTATGTTACAAAACTAAAAAATACAATATACTTTTATAATTTATTAAGTTTTCATTTTTTAAGTTAGTGTTCTATTAAAATATTTAATACAATATTTTATTATTAAAATATATACTTCTATACATAAATATTATATGATTTAAATAAGAAAAATAGCTCCGCTCAAAAATAATTACTTATAATAGAATCTTATAACATGAAACAAGTTATTGGCTAACAGTAACGTATAAGTAGGTACTTCAACAAAAATGTAACAAATATTTTCTAAGTAAAATATAATATTCAGATTATTGGAAAAAAAACCTTTAAGAGTTGTTGTACAAAAAAAAAATAATAAATAAAAAGTGTTTTGATGGTAAAATATTACACAATAAAAATCTAAAAAATAATAACTTCTTACCTATACATCGTTATAACTTTTACACTCACAGTTAGACGAAAACGATCACAGTTCTTAATAAATAGTAATAATAAATTCTTAAAAATAATTTCCTTAGACTATGCACAATATTAAATATCTACTGAGAAATTCGATAGAAATATAAAAATCACAGATGTCCCGTCGTTCACGACCATTACATTACATTATATTATATCATATTTTAAGCTAAAGAGTCGCGACATATCATTTTTTTAAATATATTATATTATGTACAGTAAAATGAAAGATTTTTCTTTTAATGAGTAGTGAAAATGTTTACGACAAGTATGCTATTCGCGCACACGAACACCACACATTTGAGGAACAAAAAAAAAAAAATATATAATATATTTATCGTAATAATAATAATTGTTTCGAGCGAGACACGCGGACAGTAGTTATCTAAGTGTAAATATACTTTTATTATTATTAGGTACTATAGCGCCACGTCGGCAGGCGCAGTTTTGAAACTGGCTCTTCGTTTGGGATTCCGACGCAACGTGCCCAGGACGTTCATCATCTCGTTGACGACGGGCTGAGGTTCTTGTTTTTTGACCGGAGTCTGTTTCTGAAACAGAAAAAACAAAACGATGTTCACTAATATGTCATCATATATAGTAGTAACCAATAGCACCACACACAATTCCGAAAATACGAATATTGCGCAACGTTAAAGGTACTTATAATTTTTATTACTTATCGAGATTTTACCTCTTTGTCCGTGGCTTTCAGACTGAAACGACCTCCTTTGATCTGGTTGATTATCGCGTCAATGGCACCTGCAACATTTTTAGCGTTATAAATCACGACCGAAGGTAATATTTTAATATTAAATATCATTGGACATCTATAAAAATAACTATTGTTTTTCGAATGCACGTCTGAGGTACATAGCATAGTCTGCACAAGTTACTCACCGTTCTGTACTTGAGGGCCTTTGGGAGTAGCCATTGGGAGTCCCAAGTAATTCCCTAAATCTTCAATTGCGTTGGAGTTATGGTTCAACGAGCTAACCGTTTTCAGCTTGATGCCGCCGCTCGTCCCCGCCAACGACATGGGTGGCGGGGGTGGCGGTGGTGCTGGTGGTGCTGGCGGGGGTGGTGGCGGTGGGGGTCCGCACTGGGGCGGCGCGACTACGGTTTTGGTTTCTCGGAGTTGTTTTCCGAGTTCTTCAACTGAAAACGTAGGTAGAATGTATATTTTTTTACTGTATGGCAATTTATCCATTGCGTGTACAATGGTAGGGTTTTCGATTGTAATATTGTGAGAACCCCACATCATCTTGGTTTGTTAATTTTGTCTTGTGAGACACAGAAAAAACAATTTGACACAAAAGTGTGTCGTGCATTTCAATGGAAAGTGATTTAAGCGAAGTACCGATCAAAATAAATAAGGAAGTACAATAAATTGCTCTTTTAAATTTTATTCGAAGCACATCATTATTGTCTCAAGTTATATTTATTATTGATATTGCTTTAAGCTATGATAGTAATATTGTTTGAAAAAACCTTCGATACATGCCTTCAAAAAAATGTTTTTTTAATTGATTTGTATTATTAATCACTAGCTTTAAAATCACCTTACTATTGCTAATAATATTTTTTTTTCTGGTACGTTTCACGCGTGCTAGAGATAAACATATAATATAAACATTGGTGCCTTTAAAAAAAAAATTAGTTATAAATTGACTTGTTAGTTATACAAATGAGTACATTAGCTAGATTCGAGAATAATCACAAAACTGTATAGAATAGAAAATATATTTTACTAATTATATTGAAATAATTAAATACCACTATTTGACTTTGTGAAGAGTTGTTGTATAGATATAGGTAGGTAATAAATAATAATAAAAACATAAATAAATATACCCTGAGATTCAGCAATGTCAGCTCTTTGCTGAGAACATAGTAATTCTGCTTCGATTAACTTTAACTTCTCTTCGTACAATTCGATTTGTTCGGATTCGCTTTGAGACTCTAACTTTTCCTGCAAAATATTTATATTTTATAGAAAATTCAGTAATTAATGCAACCACATATATTAAAACAGTTGTACTCACGTGTAAATCTTTCAGCTGTTCCATATGCTCCTGTCTCTCTTGGCTTAATGTTCTTTGCAATTGTTCGACCTCAAACAACAGTTTCATTATTTTTTCATCCGATGCAGCATCCATCATCAACAGTTGACTTTGCCTGGCTAAAACGTCTCTCTCGGATTTTACCTGTAAACCAATTGATTAAGACAAGACGTCTATGATTTATTATTTTTACACCGACTGACTTTGTTCGCATCACTTCGTATCTTTACGCCTTCTTCTTTTTCTCTCTTATATTGTTGATGTAATACAGTCGTCTCTTCGACTACTTTACGGCTAACTGTTTCCAAACTGTCGTGTTTCATTTTTAATTCCTTAAAAAAATAGACAAAAAAAATAGTGAAGTGATTATCAATTTTTGAAAAACTACAACAATCGAAATCGAAAGAGAGTTTAAGTGCAACAACATGCATTTGAGAACAATGTACGATTTAACGAAATGATATTACAACAAAATACGGTGTAGTTACTTTAAGTTCTTGTTCAGCCCGTTTTCGCCCCCTACGCTCTTCCTCTAGTTCAGAAGTCAAGTCTACTGTCTGCTCCTGGGCTTCAAACTCTTGTAGATTAATTTTATTTAACTCTGCTTGTAGCCTCGAAACTTCTTGAGTAAGCTCTACACAAACAAATTACACACTTACAATATTATGTTTCGTCGGTATCGAACAAATAAACCCTTATACCTTTGACAGTTTTCCGCAGTTCTTCCATTTCGGTGTCGTTATTGTCCGTATCGTTGTCATTACCGTCCGTGTCATCTGCCAAGTCGTCCAACGTGGACGGCGCCACTGACATTACTTTTTGCATTAAAGCCGAGCTCCTTCTTTTCAGCTCACGATTTTGTTTATACCACTATAATAATATATTGAGACAGGAGTGTATCAATTAAAATCTAATTGAAGCAGTTGTGGTGCGGTTGATTAACGTTTAATTGTATTATTTACCTGCGAAGCTCTTTCCATCGCCTTTTGCAACGTAGTTGTCTCGAGTTCATATTGCTGTTTTAATTGATCATATTCCTTGTACATCGCTTCAGAAACTATATATATATATACGCACAAAATAATATGATTGAATTAAATTTTACTGACAAGAACCGAACACTCGATATTAAACTATACTATATTGTATACGCACGGTTCCTCAGCTGAGAGAGTTGCAAGGTCCTTTCCGATAAGTCTTTATTCGACAGTTCGAGATTGGTGCGTAGCTTCGCCACTTGGCGTTCCATGTCCGACTTTTCTCTCAACACTAAACAATAAACAATAGTCAATGTCGAAGCTATATCGATTTATTTCAATTACCTAGTGTATGTTTTGGACGATCTGGGCGGAAAATAATAATAATAATAATAACCTACATCCGATTTTATAATACAACACAGGTAACACCAAATGGCGGCCCGTGGATGAATTTTAACCGGCCAGCAGACAAGGAGAAAAGAAGCTGATAATTTCTTATCTTTGTAACATTAGTTTTGGCCAATCGACATATTATAATAAATATTATGTACTCTGCATTTTTATGGCCCACGAGAATTTTCCGAATTCTTAATGGGACCCATGGAAAGTATTAATTGGTGACCCCTGATATAACATGTAACTCTCGTTTCTTAAGGAGTTTAATATAGGCAATTTTAACATTTTCAGAAAATGTACTACCAATTCAAAATATGTCTGGGGAGGTCACATATTACAACATGACTGGTTTTTAATAATGAGGAAATGATATAAAAATTAAATAAAACATGCGTTGGCGTAGGTAGCTATTATGCAATAATATATAGTATTCTACTTCTATAATTGCGGTTTATAAAGCTGAAAATCGAAATACGCATTAAAAAATTCAAAAATATAATTTTTGAGCACATATTGATATTCTGATAGTTGATACATTAAATATGTGTTGTGAATTTTTTTAAATATACGTGACGCCTTTCAAAATGCTGTTGTCTTTCATTTACGTGTGATTTGTGTCATTGTGATTATATAAGTATCAAAAATCGATAAGGCATTCGAATAAAACAGAATTTTTCCGTGGCGGGAAGTGGGGGGTGGCTTTAGAGGACTCACGTTTCTGAGACTGAATCAACAGGGTCTTTCTCTTCGTCTCCGTTTCGTCATATTTGTTCTTCCATTTGTCCTCGGTGGTCGGTGAAGGACTGCTGCTGGTGCTACTGTTCAGGACAGTCGACGATTTGACGGAAAACCTGGGCGGAGTGCTGTCTAGTAGCGGCGGCGGAAGCATTGGTTTTGCGCCGATTGGCTTGGGCGGGTGTACGGGCACTGCTGGCGACTGCTGTGGCAATTTGACCTCACCGTACGTCAATTTCGACGTGGTTTCCGGGGGTGACTTGACCGCGAATTTCGACACAACTTCCACCACCGGCGACGACTTAGAGGCGACGAACCGGTTGTGCACCGGCACCTGTGCAGCGGCCATCTGCTTATTGCCGTTGCCGGGTGAACCACCGATGTTCCTCGTCATCTCGTTCGCTAGATAACTCTGCAGAAAACTGTTGTTCTTGGTGGCCACCGGCTTGCTACTGCTGCTGCTGCAGTCTTCCGGTACATCCGGCTCCTCGCGAATCGTCTTGAACCGTCCACCGCCACCGTTTTGCATCTGGAAGTTCGACACTTGGTGGTGATGGTGATGGTTGTTATTGTTATTGTTGTGGTTTTTCAGACTCGACGGTACCGTGGATTCGGGTTTCCCGTAACTCAGTCCGGGAGGGTTGTACGGGACCGAACCGTTGTTCTGGCTGAACTTGTTCCGAAGGTTTTGAACGCTCATCATGTGTAGTGTAATTGAGCTCTTGTCGTTTGAAACCCCTGAAAATTCAAACGATAAAATTATATTATAAGATTACATTTTTAAGGTATATATTTTTGAAATTAGTATAATATGTTTAGGTAAATGCCATGGTATTGTCGATAGCAATAATCATGTGTAACCATTGTTAGTGTGTGTAAAACCGTGAGATTCGTGTGAACAGTACGGTTGGTCGAGATTGGTAATTCTTTAGCCGTCTAGGACGTTGCCCGGGGTACACTGCGTGGAAGCGAATTACCTTTGTACCCTTTGTACTTATCTTGGAATTACCTTGGATAGAACACTTACATATAAAGAGCACCTAACAAAAATTGCTGCTAAAATAAAAACAAGAAACAATTAAATCCAAAAATTGGCCAACTCGTCGTGGGGAGCTGATGCCCATACACTAAGAATCTCTACATTAGCATTAACGTACTCAGTAGCGGAATACTGCGCCCCAGTGTGGGCCAATAGTGCCCATATGAACAAAATAGACGTCCAACTAAACTCAGCCATGAGAACCATTTCAGGTGCGGTCAAATCAACGCCAACTCAATGGCTTCCTATACAATGTAACATTGCCCCACCAAATCTTCGCCGGATGAACTCATTACTTCGAGAATGGACTAAATGCTCTAGGAATACCGCACTTCCTATCCACAGCGACTGCACTAATGTTGGCCCACTGCAAAGATTAAAATCCAGGAAACCGACTTGGAAACTGGCAAGGAAACTTATCACAGAAAAATTCGACCTTATGTCTAAATGGACTGAAGATTGGAGGTCTAACAATATCGACTCGAACCATCTCTTCGACCAACCTATGATGCAACCCCCTGGATCTAACCTCACAAGGAGACAATGGGTAGTCCTAAACAGACTTAGAACTGGGCATGGACGCACTGGACTCATGTTGCATCGATGGGGATTAAAGCCCACTCCACAATGTGACTGTGGACACCATACCCAATCCGCAAGACACATAGTGGAGGAATGCCCAATCAGAGCATTCCCAGGGGGATTAGCAGAGCTGAACAAAGTTACCAGGGATGGTATTAATTGGCTTGAAAAATTAGATATCAATATTTAACCGCCTAGTCTAATATATGTTACCCACCTATAGTTATTTTAGTGTTTATGTTACTGTATTGTATTATTATTGCCTAATCTATTACTTTAATATCATCATTTATAATTTTCATGTTCATTGTTCATAGATTATTTTATTGTTAATGTGTGTTAATAGCGTCATACGAATATATATATATATATCATGTGTAACATTTTGATTAGTCGGTATAGTAATAGTATAATGCATACACCTATGGTAAATATATCAATAGATGCTATCAACAATTAAAAATAAAACTGATGTATAATTCCTGCCTTTTTTAAATACCATACGAGTTTAATTTTGTAGCTTTAATGTAAGAGCCAACTTTATTTGCAATATGATTATAGCCTATAGGTACCGGCTTTTTAGTTGTATTACTTTACATTAATGTACCTAAAGTCTGTGATTATCGACAAAATAAGAAGGATAGTTACTAATTAATAATAACTGACTTACGATGGCATTGATTAAATCGTTCAAATCGAAGAATCGATAAAACGTTTACAGATATGATTTCAGGTTTGTATAAATCTATCAAAAATTGAACACTTATAATACATGTATTATCTCTGGCAGACCACGATATAAATTAATCTTTCTACAGTACATTGACTTGTGGGGCAACTAATTTCGTTATTTGTGACAATATATTACTCTACATAACATAACAGTGTGCACCAGGGGCGAGATCACGGATTAGATGAGGGTGTCATAATCGCACACCTTCCCCCCTTATGGGAGACTTATTTTCTCCTAAAATAATTAAATATGCGTACCAATGATTGTATTTTTTGTATCTGTATAATATGTATAACCATCAATAAAATTAAGTTCATCCCCCTCCCATAAGAAAAAGCTGAGCATCTAACTGTTATGCGTGAATACGAGTACCCACCTACATAATATAATTGTACGGTATATGTAATACTTGCAAACCGTTTCGTTATTATATCTATTAATGAAATTTCTTTACAGTGGGTGTCGCGACTCGCCAAACTCGTGTAAATTTAAAAAAATATACAAATTTCAACCCAAGTGACGATCAAATTGTATTGTGCAATATAATACTGCGATTTGTGTTCAAACTTGAAACGTATACGCGCACAAGTGCAGTATTATATCATAATACACCGAGATCGTCCGAAAATGGTTCGTAGTGTTATGGTCAACACTCGACTGTCTCATAATTACTGTGCAGTACAACTGTATAATGTAATATATCAATATTATATGTGTACGTGGTCGTAAAATTGTATAAATAAATAATGGTGCATGGTGCGCAATATGTTGAGTACCTATATTCAGATGTGAACACGAAAAACGTTTTGATTAGTACCTACATAATTTAATAAACATCAAAAGTGGCTATTCGGCAAACAATACTGTAATATAAGTATCGCCATCATATTGTTGTAGGTTGTTTATGACAAGTGACTATTAATTCACCGGCTACTATCGCAATAGAACCAGACATTACGTAACTCTGCAGATCATTATTATCATATTATGAATTATATAGATAGGTTCCAACATACATTTCGACTTTTGTTTTAAAATATTATGCACATAATACATTACATACCATATCGAAAACGCGCCGTTCGGCTACACACGCGGGATACAGCAATTTATTATGTTTTGTGACGGATATTATATTTTGGTAGAATAGAGAAAACGGACGTAGGTATATACACCATCGCACACCATTATGGGTGTAATGTATTTTAATATTTTCAACAACGTGTGCGTTATGAAAATCATGATTAATATTTAGGGAGTTCTGCTCATCGAAACATCTAACAGTGGTGTTTGGAATTAACATAAAAGTCTATTGTACGGCGAAATTTAATACATTTTCTTTTTCGTCGTCGGAGATAATACGCATAATAATGATACCTAATAATAATATAATAGTTGTTGTAGTCTGCTGCTGCAGCTGAAGATGCTTTTCGAAAACGGTATACACACAATAGAAATCAAGACGAATTTATATTACTATACAGAGTGGGCCGCCGTTGCAGATCACGCGGTATAATATTATAAGAAGAGATTGCGGGTATTGCGCGCACGCCATTGTGTGGTTATTTTTTTGAAAACCGATTATTATTGTTAGGCATTATACCTACGGATTGTGTGTGATTTTTTTCTCTTTTCGTTTTAATAAAATATACACTACAATATATCTCTCCGGTTGTCCGACAAAAGCACGTGACACGGTGACGGCGGCGGCCGCGGCGGTTGCATGTACTGCATATAACTACCTATATAGGAAGTGTATTTATTTATTTACTTTTTTTCTCCGTATACTCTCCGTCGTCTACCGCGGAGTCGTCGTCGTGTCGTCCCACTCGTCGTCCCAACAATATAATATTATTATAACGATAATAATACAACCTTCGTGTGATTACCTACCCCGATGGTGCTGGCGAGACACACGTGATGGCGAACCAACAGGTTTCCAGTACTTAGATATTTATCGCAGCGGCGGCGACGGGTGCGTAAAAGCCGATAATCGTCGCGGACGTTTCTGTTAGCGTTGTGTTTATTATACGTATGTAGATACCTACGTTTATATAGTGTTATTATTTCCGTCGAATAATTGGAAACCAATACGAATTTGTACTTGTATTTTTCCCCCTATCTACACCGAGAAGAATCCCGCATAAGTGCCATATGTCTGTGTTTTTTTTTTCAAATCAAGTTATACGCGGCTATTAATTCTGCGACTAGAGCGAGACGTGAATGTCCGGGAATAACGTTTCACAACAATAAATATTATAAGCGGACGCAGCAGATTTTAAAAAATATCGTTCTAACCTCACCTGCAGCTGTAGCTACTGCAGTCGGCCGGCTGGACGATGCATACTCGTTGGGTGATGTACCTGAGAAGTGACAGGGGAAATAAAATATTATAATTTGGTCATCGTTAAGGGTATAATAAGACGAATTAACATACGCAGTTATGCCGCTATGTGTCTAACGCGTATAGTACACTTTTACAATAACCAAGCGTATATTGTTGAAAGGGAAAAATGTAGGTATGTTCGTATAAATTATAATAATATGATTATGCAGGTACCAGCCGGAAGATGCATACTCGCTGAACACTGCAGAGATGAGGCTGTACCAAAGAAGTGATGGGGTAAATTTAAAAATAAAATTATTATATTATATTATAATTTAACTATCGTTACAAGAGTATAATACAGGTATTAACATACGCTCTCCGTTCAATACGTATAAAAAATAAAGGGAACGATAATAATATTTTTTTTTTTTTTTTATTATTTATAAAGTTTTCCTGACAATTGGTCATCTAAACTTAAGGCTAAAGGAATAATATAGCACCCATTATATCAGAACGATTTAATATCATAAATTAATAGACAATAATAGGCTGCGACATAAAAATAAGAAATATCGAGATTTTAATTAGTAAAACGCGTGGTCTATTGACTATAAGTTGTTAACAATAGCCATAACACGTAGGGGTTATAAAAAACGAAGAATAACACATATTGCTGTTATCAACATTGCATTATTGTTATATAAACGCATAATTACTTACGATTTAGTAACAGGCATGCACGTCACCACCGGGCGATCAATGTTATATTTGCATTGTTTAAGTCTTAGAAATTAAAAAACAAGAATTTTTTCTAGAACGATAAGTGGGAATTTTAAAAACTCGATTCCGTAAAAAGAGTTCGAAGCAATACTGCTATTACTGTTTATCAATATTTTATACACAAAGCCGGCGTCGATGTAAATACAATTTTTACACTCGTCTTGCACAATGAGAACAGAGACAATTAGCTACTTCTTTATGGAAGTTAAATATTAGTATTATAATACGTATACACGATACATGGTCGGAGTCGCCGTAGTGGTTGTTGTTGTTGT